TTGTTGTGTGTGTGTGTTTTATTTTATTTTTTTTCATTCACCGTTCTCGCTTTTGCCGCTCTTAACGCGGAGGTGTCTGACGGATGTGAAGCCCCCCAAATACTGCCCGCCTCGTCAGTTCAGAAAGATTCCGGTTATTACAACATGTGAATTATTTATTATTTTTTTTTTTTGGTTTGGTTTTTGACTTGTGTATGGGCGTTGGATCCGTCCTCTCTGAAGTGTGGGGGGATGCCGGGCGGCGCAGTAAGCCAAACTGTCACCTTCCATCGGTTTTTTTTGTGATATTTCTTTGAATATTTAACGCGGCCTCATCCAGGCACGGATAACCATTTTTTTTTTGTTGTTAATTTTTCTGCAATGTAGTCTATGAGCGTCTTTAGGGGAAGGGGTGTTTTATAGGACGAGGTGGGGCTTCGTCTTTGCTTTTGGTGTGGAACGGTTGGCCACTCTAATATGCGCATGTATATTTGTGTGCGTGTATTGTCCTTCCTTTTTCTTTCTTTTTGTTTGGGGTTTTGAGGTGGGGCATTTTCTTTACTTCTTCTATGTGGGCTGGTTTCCCTGCTGCGTGATCCGCCTTGACGTGGAGGGGAGTTGCGGCGTGCTGTTGGACCCTCCACCTCCTCCAAAGAAAACATACATATATATATATGCGTATAAAATACAGGCGCGTATTCTGTGCGGTGGAACTGTCTGTGGATGCATGCAGGCGACAAGGGAGGCTGCGTCTCTACCGTGTCCTTCTTCAAAGGGGAAACCGCTTTCCATGACGCTCCTGGCGGGGAATAGTGGCGGGGGAAGTTCGAGGTGCCTTTCGACATCTTCGTAATGATTTGCTAAAGACGAGGAAGGTGGATCACAAGCTTCTTTTGGTGTGAGAACGGGCTGCCGCTATTCAGACCTACGCCGAGAACATGTACTGGTTGCATTCCCGAGATGAGGTTTCGAGGGAAATGATGCATCATTCCCTTGAGCAGCATTGTCAGCGCATTAGGGAGATGGAGCGGTGTAATGCCGCGGGAAATGCGGCAATAGAAACGCCAGTGGTGACCGAATTCAAGTCATCGGTGTACCATGTGCATCCGGACTGCCACGGGAGGATTGAACAGATGCCGTTGACGCACAACCGTGGAATTTTGAGAGCGCGTGGACAATGTGGATCCGATGTTGGCGGTCCCCAACAGAAGTTTTGTGTCCGTCGCTACAAGGCCTTATTTCCACGGGGTTGGGAATTGCACCAGCCTCCGCGTGCGAGTGTATGTTGACCTTTTTTGCTGCGTTATTAGGCCTTGGGGTGCTGTTGTTGTCTTCTTTGCCTTTCTGCTTGCGTCTGTGTGGATTGCCTGGCGAACACGCACCGCTGTTGAAGCGGAGGGGAATGAAGGCGGTATTTGGCCTGAGAAGGGTCCTGGTGCGTCTTTTTTGTGGCGAGCGGGACGGTGGTGAGCTTCACGACGCGGAGGTGTTCGACGCCGTTGTTGGCTTCGCAGTTGTTGCCGTTGTGCCGCTGTTGTATACATCTTTGCGAGCGTTGGCAGGGAGGCGCAGGGCATAGGTTGCGCGGACGGCCCAGTCGTTCTCAGATATTTCTGCGGACGCCAAGGCCGTTGTTGTTGAGGAGTCGACCTGCTCGCCGTTCCTCCCGACTTCATGGTCAGTTTTGTCTGCATGGATTATTATCGACGCAGAGCGAGCCGCAGATGTGGAATTCGCAAAATTATTTTCCACGGAAGTGGTGTGTGCGTACGTGGATGGGGTCTTCCGGGGTCTTATGCGAACACGCTGTAGGCGCCGCATGTTTCACGTGTGTGTTTTTCTTGCGCGCACCGCAGTTGGAGCGGATGCTGTTGTTCGTCTGGCGAGCAGTGAGGGTACTGGTTGCTGTGGTGTTTCTACCGCTGCTGTCGAAGTGGCGGTGAGTCTGTCGGCTCCAAGCCTGTTTTGCCTGCGTCATGGTGCGTTGCTGCGGAGGGAGCGTCGACTCCATGACGCTGTGTCTCGCTATCTAGGCCCGGGTGTTTACTGGGACAGCCGTCGGAGGTCCCCTGAATTGTCAGACCGCGTTTGGCGTGCGATGGCGCGAAAGGGTTTTGCCACAATGCGGTGTTGTCGTTGTGTGACGGGTGTGCGTCGACCAAATTGCTCTGGGCCAAGGAACGGGCCCGCCGAGTATTTTTTGCTCGGTGATCTGGTAAGAAGCAGGCACCACGTGAGGTCCACACTATTCGGGGGAAATAGGTGCTGCGGATACCAAAGGGAAACCGGAGCATGAACCCTTCTGCATGATGTCTTTGCTGCGTCCTCTGGCTGGCTTTGTGATGCGCACGGGCGAAACATTCATTGTGGTGTTTGCCGTGGCATCATCTGCCGGTGACCCGCAGTATTCGGCGTTTTGTTACACTGAGACGACGCTGACGTTATTGGGCCTACTGCTTTTTCTCTTTTCTCTCCCGTTGGGCCGTGGATCTCTCACCGCAGCAACACCATGAACGTTGTGCAGCCATGCTTTGAGCGGTTTGCTTATATAAAACCGCCCTCTTGGTGTGCACCTGTCCCCTATATATATGTATGTGCGTTTATGTGCATAAAAGGAGGGAGGCAAGAGGGGTGGGAGGGGAGGTAAAGGAAGAGAGAGGGATCCCCGACGCGCATGGATGCGCCTAACCCAACTTCTTGGGAATCCGAGGGGAGATGGGACCGGACCTGAGCGTGCAGTGCGGAGTTGGATGCGTTTGCATGTGGCCGGGGAAGAGGCCGCGGGGGCGCCTAAATGAGGAAGGAGAGAATTGAAGGAATCTAAAAAGAGGTGTGGTGGCGTCGAAGGGTTTGCGGGGACTCTGGTGTCTGTGTTCCCGTGCGTGTTCCACATCATGCACTTTTTTCTTCGACTCATCTCTCAGCCGAGATGCAGCCACGGCACGGGAGTCGCTCACATGGGCCACGCGTTTCCCGGGAACTATTTCAAGGCAGCACCTTTCTTCGACCATGAGTTTGGGGACATTGAGGGAGCTGCACGGCTTGGCGACAAGCAGAAGCTTCTTTTCTACGCTCTGCGGCGGCAGGGCGAGCATGGTCCATGCGCGGGCGCGGCGCCGTCCATATGGTGGACGCGTAAGCGCATGAAGCGCGATGCATGGAACCAACTGGGCGAAATGTCTGTATATGAGGCGATGGTAAATTTTGTGAGGTTACTTGGGGGTGTTTAGGGTGAAGTCAACTGGGTGGAGAATTGCAAAGCTCTGGAGAACAACATCTTACATGCGGCGGACAAGTGGCAGCACACATGCCCCAGGAGAGGAGGACACGTGGTACGATGATGTGCGTGCCCGCCGGGAGCCCGCCGTGGAGACTGCAGGGCATTTGGCATCGCAGGTCGTTCGGTCGCGACGTGAGGCGCATCAACCGCGATTGCCGACGGCTGGAAAACAAACGAGGGAATGTGTTGCTGCGCGTCTGGCGCTCCCCACCCATCAAAGCACCAGCGGGCAACGCGGGCTTTCCTCAAGGCAGCGTCGACGCCTCGAGGGAGACCCGTCGCAAGGAGGAGTGATACCCTGCCGCCGTCGCCACCGTTCTCCTGTCCGCCCACTAAATTGACGGAAGTGGCGTTGGGAAGCCCTCGGCTGCCTTCCCCATCCCCCGGAAGGCGCGGAATGGGCTGGGCGGGATGGCTCGGTCGTTCCGAGCGAGCGAGAGGGAGAGGGGGGGAGAATGAAACGCCCCTTTGCGGAGTGCATGGCCGCGATTGGGGCGTCGCTGTTCGCGTTTCCTTTGTTTCTCTTTCAATTAATTGGCGCTGCCCTGCTCCTTGTGCCCCCGTTTGGGCAAATGTGTCTTTGGCCCGGACCGAGCGTGCCCTGAATGGTGCCCATGGGCTTTTTGGATGCGCTCTTTTATGGTGTTCCCTCTCTTTCGCCCCTCTCCCACGACTATTTCCCCCTCAGCCTCATTTGCGTTTCTTTTTTTTCTCACGTCCAGTTGTGTTCGTACCGTGGCCCGATGGCGGGTGCACTGTAACGTCACGCCAACGTCCACGTCCACAAGGAACCACGAAAATATGAAGCGCGTGGTTGGCGTCTTTGCGGAGGGTGTGGCTGCAGGACTTTCTGACCCGACGAGTGTGGGGCGCGTTGGTTGTGGGAAAGCGGTGGTTCCGTTCCCATGTTATGCCGAAACAATTTTGCTTCATGCGCCTTCTTTGTTTGGGCGGCGCAAAGCCCGCACGATGCTGATTGGAGGCGACGGAATGCGTCCGCTGGCGGGGGTGGGGCCCCAACATCTCTCGGGGGACGGGTTTAACGCAGAAGAATGAAATTTGACGGCCAACGAGATGAGGAAGCCTGCGCTTCACGCAATAGAAAAGGTTCCGTGGGGGCCCGAATGCACCACGTGGAGATGTTTTTCTTTCCTCTCCCACTTCGCCCACACAATGGCATGAACCCTTCTCCCGTGTCCGCCAATACAATTACTAAATAAGTGACAAGCCGCATGCATTATAAATTTTCGACGCAGAAGCCAAAGAGACGGTGATACCAGGGCGACTCGCCCACTCATGACCTCCTCGGGATCGCCGAACCACACCGACAGCATGCAGCTCACGAAACGCACAACATTGTTGTTGTGCACGGTGTTATTCTATTTTTACGTTTGCGTGGGGTTTCCTATTGAATGCCGCTCTTTTGGTAAAAAGAAATATGCGACCGTCTGTCGCCACCAATTTCGGTGCTAAAAGTCGGACACGATGCATGAATACCCATTTTGTGTGTGTAGGCGATGTTCCTCCATGTCGTTCCTTCCGGATTGTCTTTTGTTCCGCTCTCTGCGTGGGTGCGCCAATCTGCTCTCCACCGAAGCGTCTGATTTATTGCCGCTGTTTCTGTTTTCCTCCTTCACTTCTTGAACACACACAAAGAAGGAAAACAAGCGCGAATCGCTACTGTGAGATTGTAAGGCTCTGAAAGGACCAACACACACACCGCCCACACACACATATTTATATGCTCTCACGTGTTGTTGCAGTCATGGCACCCCGCACACACAACTGTCGCCGCGTGACCGGATCCAGCGGAAGGAGGAGGGAAGGAAAGAAGAGTGAGCCGCAGAGGCCCAACATGTCCCGGCGTGTGTTTGCTTCTGTTGTGCTTTTCATTGTGATGATGTGCTGCAGCAGTGAAGCCACTTACGGCAAGGAGGGCAATTCAAGGAATGGAATCATCTTTGAAGGAGGGAATTCGTTTAATGATCCAGAGACTGAAAATTTGGTACAGGCGTTTGACTCGTTCCGTGCACCTTCTCTTGCTTACGTCAATGGTGTCGTTGTGGCCACCGTTGAAGCGCACTACACAAACTCCACGGATAACAAATCGTGTGTCAGTCTTGCTGCAAGGTCGATGGAAAGCAATGGAGGGGAGTGGACAAATGGAACTGCCATCGTGTTTGATCATTACGACGTGAAAATTGACCGCCTGTTGAGTCCAACAACCTTTGTGGATGAAAGAGATGGTGCAACAAATGCTCTTGTCGGGGGTTATGGCACGTCAACGACTCCATTGAAGGAGGTGACTGGTGATGGTAAATATTGGGTGCCCAGGATAGCGGCTGGTAGTTTGATTCCGTATGACGATGACGATGAGAAAAAGAAGGAGTTTAAGTGGAACAAGGTTGCAAGCACGTCAGGAGTTCCACATGACCTTTGGGAGAGTGAACGCACAAACCCCAAACGCTTCAAACAATTTCTGGGTGGTGGTGGCGCAGGCATTAGGATGGAGGATGATGATCGCTACGTGCTGCCTATTCAAGCCTTGAAGGATGATGGAAAGGTTGTTTCGTTGGTTATCCTCGCCAAAAAAACTTCTTATGGCTGGGAGTTTTCAAATGGTACGAGCCATGAGGGATGCATCCAGCCTGCGGTTCTTGAATGGAAGGAAAAAGAGCTTATAATGATGACGTCGTGTGATGACGGCAGCCGCAGGGTTTACAGGTCAAGCACCATGGGGAATTTGTGGACGGAGGAATACGACACTCTTTCACGCGTGTGGGGCAACTCACGTACACGTGTGGGGCACGGCGCGCAGGGTGGCTTCGTCAGCGCGATGATCGATGGACAGAAAGTCATCCTCGTCAGTCGGCCGGTATATTCTGAGAAGGATAAAAAAGAAACGGGCCGACTTCACTTGTGGCTGACGGACATGCAGCGAATTTATGATGTCGGGCCGATATCCGCTGTGGGTGAGAACGTCTCCGCCAGCACTCTGCTGTACGCCACGGTCGAAGCGCAGCCATTGAAAGAGGAAGAACCGAAGGAAGAGAAGAAACTGTACTGCTCGTACGAGGTCGCTGCTGCAGAGGACGGTAAGTACAACATTGCTTTTGTGGACTTGACGGAGAAGTTGGAGGACATGAGGAAGGTGTTGGCTGCATGGAAGGAAAAGGACGCGCAAATTGCGAAGGAGTACCGCTGCGGGAATGAAAAGAATAATTGGCGCAGTGGCTGTGATGCTCGTGAACTCACCAAGGGGCTGGTTGGCCTCTTATCCAACAAGTCAACTAAGAACACATGGAGTGACGAGTACCTCTGCGTGAATGCAACCGTTCACGGGGAAGTGGAAAGTACTCCTGATGGTGGATTGACGTTCAAAGGACCCGGAGCAGGGGCGGTGTGGCCTGTTGGCGACATGGGGCAGACTGTGCCGTACCACTTTGCGAACGACAAGTTTACTCTTGTGGCGACGGTGTCCATCGATAAGGCTCCGGAGACAGGCAGCAGCTCCATCCCTTTGATGGGTGTGAGGATGAACGATGCACAAGGCACGGTGCTTTTTGGTCTGTCGTACACCCACGAAAAGAAGTGGAGGATAATCTTCAACGGCAGTTTCCGGGAGCCGGCGCATTATGAGAATGTCGAATGGGAAGCAAACAAGAAATACCATGTGGCACTGCAAATGGATTGTGATGATGGGTTGTTTGTGTACGTGAATGGAAAGAGGATATACGACCGCGAATACGATTATGAAGATGAGGATTACGAGGGCTATAAGAGCTTTTCTCACAAGTTACGAAAACTGTTGAGCTCCCACAGCATCTCGCACTTTTACATTGGCGGGGACAACAAGAGCAACTCGGGCAACATTCATGTGACGGTGAGCAACGTCCTGCTGTACAACCGCTTATTGCAAGATGATGAGCTCAACCCACTAATGAAGACGAAGGCAGTCGCTGCTTCAGAGGCGGAGGTGTCGGCCCCGGAAGGTGCGCCTCAAAACAGTCATTTGGGACAAGCTTCTGAAAAAGACACCACACCATCACCACAAAATCAAGGATTATCACCGGAAAAATCAAAAAATGAAAAGTATTCAGCAGGTTCCGGGCAGACAACTTCTGCTGATTTCACTGGCTTGTACACCTCAGCCGCCGAGGGGGAAGTGGAAGAAGTGGCATCCAGCAGTGTTGGCTCGGCGTCCTCATTGACTCCAACAGCGGGAGAAGGCAGTCCTCAAAAAGCACCTGAAACCGATTTCCCTGCCACTGAGGATCACTTTGAACGTGAACAGGAGCACTCGTCTCTCAGCGTGGTTCGGCCGATGACGGAGCAGGCTGAAGAGGCGGTTGTCGCCACTCCGCAGAGGAAAACCACTGAAGATCGGCCGCAGCACAGCACTCTATCTGATGCTTCAGAGGACATGGAAGAGTCGTCGTCCCATTCCGCCACGCTCACCAGCGACGAACAAACCGTTGAACCCGAGGAGAGGAAGGACACAAATCCCCACACTGCCGTGGGTGCGAGCAGCGGCCCCGACTCATCCCACAGCACTGAGGTGGCGTCCGTGGACGGTGCCACAGCCGCCCATGAGCCCAGCACAGACCCGGCAACTGCTCAAGGCCATGATGAAGTGTTGGATGGTGGTGATGCCGCAAAGGATTATTTGCGCACAATGCCTGGGGAAACCAAGATCCCATCGGAGTCCAACGCCACACCGCTCTCGGACCATGACATTTTGCTTGAGCACGGGCATTTGAGCGATTTGGCGTCCATGGCTCTAATTGGTGACAGCAGCGTGCATGGGTGTGTGTCCCGGGTGTTGTTGCTGCTGCTTCTGGGGCTGTGGGGCACCGCGGCTCTCTGCTGAGGCGTGAGGAAGGAGTGTAATTGCGGCTTTTCGTGGAACAACAACTGTGCAGCTCCCCAGCACTACTCACTCAACTTTCTCAAGGATACTTCTTTTTTTTTTTGCTTTTTTTTCTTACTTTTCTGTTCTTTTTTTTTTTTTTTTTTTTTTTTTGCGTCTCTTAAGTTTTTTTTCTTTTAATTTTTTTTCCTGTTTTTCCGTTTTCTTTGTTTATTTTTCTTTTTTCTTTTTTTTTTTCCTTTTTTTGTTTTTTCATTTTTTATTGTTTTTTGTTGTTTTTTCTTTTTTTTCTGTTTTCTTTTTATTGCTGGTGCTCTGCTGAAGTAATCAGCATTCCTGTTGGTGTGTTTTTCCCCAAAAAAAACGGTCGCTTGCTTAAACACCGTCACGAGTGACGTGCTTCCCCCTTTTTTGTTTGCTTTTTTTGCCCACACGCGGTGCCGGCCTCGTTGCTGTGCGTCCCACGGACTGCACAAGAGGAGGAGTGGAGGAGCAGGCCGGATGCCGCATGGAATGTGAGGGATGTTGTGTGGGCTGGTGGGAGAGTACAATTCCTTTTTTTATTTGTGTGCGGGCAGTATGTATAAACTCAAGAACACGGTTGTATTGTGCTGCGTGGCACACGAAATGACATATCTGCCGAGTCAATTGTTTTTTGTTTTGTTTTCTTTTCTTTTTTGCTTCTTTTTTCTTTCGGTAAATCACTACAGTCTCTTTTCCGTCTGTGCCGTGTGTCCCATGTCACTTTTTGTTGCCGTGTCCCGTTGAGTGTCCCACTGCTGGCTGTGCTGCTGAAATGCCTCCATTCTTCTCTTTCTTTCCTGCTAGAGGCACCGATGGTCCGCGACGACGATTGTTTGTGCACTCCTTTACGTTGGCACGAGGGTGACTGGGCGCCTGCCTACTGAGTGCACTCGGAGGGGAGCGGGTGGTGTGCGCCGTGCCTCACCGTGAGTGCGGAACACTAATCCGCCACGACCCGCCGTGGGGCGGAGGGAAGTGAGGGACCGCGCCGTGGACTTGGATGCGCCCCGTCCCTCTCGTTGCGGCCGTGTGTGTGTGTGTGTGCTCTGGATGCCCAAACTCATTTGCCCCGCAAATGGGACGGCAGAAGGATGTGTTTACGTGAAGGCGCCAATGCCACGTGAAGCAAACTGTGTCTGTGGCACACACGCAAACAGGAAAGCGAAAGGAAGAATTATTTGTCTGGGCTGCTGGCCGGAAACCAAATTTTTCCATACAAATAAAATACGACTGGAAGGAAGAATGATTAAATGGAGAGGCAGTGGGTTCGCCTAATCCTCGTTGTTTGCTCCGCATATGGATATATTTATATTTTCCGGTGGCCCCACTCCCGTGACACGCTGAACGCTCTATCCAGATTGGATGCATGTATATTTATAGCTTACGAAGCGGTGGACCTTGAGGTCCTGCAACCACAGGACCCCGCCGCAAAGGTGGGAGTCAAGAGAGGGGGCGGGTGGTACGGCAAAAACAAAAATAAAAACATTTGTCTTGGTGTTATCAGTTCTTTGGTTGCTTCCATCGCGGTCTTCTAAAGGAACTCGAAGCGATAGGAAGGAATAGTACGGAAATATGCCTTTGTTTCATTGGAAGCTTGTGAGGAGGATGTTCATGAGGTAAGCTGGCGACTCTAGCTTATATGTATCCTGGTAAAACGGAGGTGTTTCTTCGCAATTCTTTGCTGTGTTATGAATTTTGTCTGACTGCGATTGAGGGAATCAGGGAACTGTTAGCGTCCAGGCGGTTTATAATTATTTTAGTTTTCACAGCCACTCGCGATCCCTGCAAGCTGGTTGAAAGAGATAACAGTGTTTTCTTTTACACGGCGACGGGGTGGAGAGACATTGGTGCTCGCATGTTGGACTTGGCACGCCAGCATGGCGGTGTCTGGGTGCAGCTCACCTTTATTGGTGGACCCGAGCCGTTGGATGCGGTGGTAACCGTCACTGCAACAATGGCAGTCCTACGCTTGGTTTCAGGAAACATCGCCAAGCATTGGGAGGATACGAAGTATTGCGGTACGTATTGCGAGTCTCCGGGCGCCTCAGGTACCAAATTTCGAGGCACAAATGCTCCTGCCCATCGTGTGTGTGCTGCCCGGGAGTTGGGGGTCCAGCAAGGGCTGATCATTGCTGAAAGGGCGGAGGTTGAGCACCGACGACGCCAACGCCGTCGCGGACGTTCCGGATCGGAGTGTGCAGCTTTACTCTCAGATGGAAGAGGCGCATAATTACTTGTCGGCACGCGGATCTCACATTGCGGTGGCCAGCGGACTTCTTGCGGGACGCGGAGACGCCGTTTCAACGCGAGGCGCCCACCTCTCGGAGAGGGCCGCCAGATGAACCCCCACTCAGGCGTGCACGACGATTGCGGAGATACGCAGCCAAATCAACCGCATCGTATGATGGCTGGTGACGTGCCAGAATCCACGTTTCCTCAACGCAATCTCACGGGAGAGATGGCGGGTCAATACTCATACGTCATTGGGCAATCTTTGCCGACCACATTTCCCTCACTCCATGGCTTTGCCCTCCCGCACTTCCTCCTTGGAAGATGATTCCGGTGCAGAGGATCAGGTACTGCATTTCTTTGAATTCGGCGTCACCACTTGCGCCCCGCGTGTATGAAATGAGGGCATCTCCGGAGTCCTCGTCGACCTCCGATGCGCATACGGTTATTGTTTGCACTAAGTGAATTCTTGGGTTCAACTTGTCTTCGACGGTTTGGTGTTCTGCAGGCGCGCACTCGAGATAGATCGGGATCCCACCGATCAGCTCATGGATTTTGGCAGGACCCTACCGCAGACATTCCGGATGCGGATCATGATGGCATCCGACCCCGGCATCACGCTCTCCAAACCTCGCGACCGCCTTCACATGGCTGTTCATGTGGCTGACACCTTCGCGAGGGCAGCCCAGCCTCTCGAGTAACGGCGAGCCACCCAACAACAGCAACAAGAACAAAGACTGTTGCGATGCCGATTGTGTCTTATTTGTGGGCACGACTCATCTACACGCAATGTGTGCCCCAGAGGAAATTACTCACAAAACAGGCGTCCATCAAAAAACGGCAGGGGGGCTGCCGGCCGCTTACGAAGGCGGAAGAAACCAGCCCCATCCATTCCACCACCACCCACCAATACCCACAGGCGTCGCACCGCACCGCCGACACTCCGCCCGACCTCTCAAATCGCCCGACGCAATCGTCGGGAAGGGCAATGGAGCTTATCCGCTAACGACGCTCGACTGTGGTACGAAGAAGCACCGACATCCCCGCTTTGGGCCAGTTATATGAGGAGAGCGAACGAGGCGGCTCGCGAAATGTGTGCGCTGTCAGTGTGGTAGCAGAGAAGGCCTCTGGCGGGGCAATTCACAACCTTATGCCGCACGCGCGAACAGCCGATCAACGAGGAGGGCTGCGCGCCCTTTTGGCGGCAATATTAGATGCGGCGCCATAGTCCAGAGTGCGGCACGCAAGGATGCTGCGGTCCGTGTTGCAAATGGATCGGACCCCGCTGGACATGGTGATTCTGGGGTTACAAAAGGTTGCGGCGCGATTGAAGAGGAAACAGGCGCGCCCCTTGACAAGGGAATGGGTGGATGGATATATCCACAGCCGGACTGACTGGAAGCAACGTGTTGTTTTTTGACCTGCGTGGATAACGGCGAGCTGTCGTTCCGAGATTGCAGCCTTAACTCCCAACAATTTCACGCTGGAGCATAATTTTGGATTGGTCCGTGGCGTCAATGACGGCGAGGGCGGACTCCCGCCGAGCTTTGCGGTTTGTGAGGATACGAGGGCAGGACGCGTTCGACACTATAACGTTATGCAGGACACTTCGACGCAACGAAAGCTTACGAATCTGACGACTGCTCACGTGGAGCGACCTCTGGCTCCTTGGAATGCCACGGCGCACTCCACAAAACAGGGTGCGTTGAGGCACGCAGCTCCAATCGTGGAGACATGCAATTTTGACCCACACGTGATCTTGCAGTTGGCGATGCACGTTGACCCGTTCGACCTTCCCCAGAATACTGTTTGATATTTGGGGAGGTGCACCACAATGCTGACCCAGGTGTCGTCGCTGCTCGCATTGATGTGAAGGGAAAACGGCGAAGGCCATGAACTCTGGTGAAAGGA